CTCTTTTTTGAGGGCACTTGAGACAGGGTCTCACTATGTAGTTCAGGGTAGCCTTGAACTCACTATGTAGCCCAAGCTGCCCTCAAAACTCCTGCTGATCCTCCTGTGTCAGCTGAGTGCTAGGATTACAGGCGTGCTCCACCACACCTGGCTAATATTTGTATCCTTTAAAGACTAGTCACTGGGGCTGGGGATTTAGCTCAGCGGCAAAAGCACCTGCCTGGCAAGCGCAAGGTCGTGAGTTCGGTTCCCGGTACCAGAGAAAAACCAAAAAAAAAAAAAGACTAGTCACTGATGTTTGCCTGTATCTTTTATTATAAGCTGTAATGTTTCCATTTGGTGCCCTTTTATAATTTATACTTTCCATTACTGTATTTGTGTGCATATTTAAGTTTGGGTCAGAAGCGCTGAATGTTACAGGATACAGTATACTGTATTGCTATTAAATTAGCTTCAGCATTAGACTTTAGGAGGCAAAGCCTTGAGATTACTAATTAAATTCATTTCTGTTGGATCAAGCTTTGTAATATATAACAAGAAATTCTTTAGTTAGATACTTCTAATCTTTCATGTAATAGTCCGGAGTGTGCCACCTGGGCAGTGGATATTCTAAAGATACAGAGAATCATATTTACTTTTGTAGCAAAAAAAAATACAGTGGCTTAAGGACATTCTAAATTATACAATTTAGTGAAAATGAGCAGCAATTTGGGTAAAAGTGAGCAACTACACATTCTGTGGCTCTAGGGATGAGTTCAGGTGACACTGATATGCAGAGTTGTCTTCAGTGAGTGTTTGGAACTCTTTCCCCACCTCCCATTGTAGACTAACTCCAGTTTAAAGGAAGAAGGTCATTGCTTGTATTAGTGTTGTCTATTTGAGCAGATCATTTTCATTTTGAGGACTAACAATTGTAGGCTTGTGCGTAGTGAAATGAGAAATTGTAGAAATTCTGGAAACCACAGTGAGAGCACACGTGTTCATTGACTGCAGAAGGACAAAATGAAACACTTGACTCATTGTTTATCTCTTGGATTAATTGAGATAATGAATGGATGTAAAGCATGTTAAAAGTGCCAGCACACTGAGGAAGGTTCATAAACGAGTTACTCAGTTTTTAAGTTTATCACCTTCATATTTTATGTTCACTTCAGTAGTATTAAGTACATTTCCATCATTGTGAAACTGATTTCTAACTTTTCATTATCTTGTAAAACTGAAACTCTTTTCCCATTTAACAACAACAAAAAACCCCTGTAATCCCCCTTCTTCCAGTTCCTAGTAATCACCATTGTGCTTTGTTTCTGTGAATTTGGGTACTTTAGATACCGCATATAGATGAAATCACACAGTGTGTTTTTTTGTGAATGACTTGTGTGACCGCACTCAAAGTTTACCCATGTTGTGACATGTAGCAGGATCTCTGCTTTAAGGCTGAATATTACTCCTTTGTGTGGACAGGTCACATTCTGCTTGTCTGTCATCTGAGTACCATTTGAGTTGCTCCCGCCTCTTGGCTGTTGTAGATAATGCTGCCATGCACATGGGTCATGGGTATGTAAATGTCTCTCTGAGGTTGCGAGTTTAATTCCACTGGATGGGTCCCTGAAGCAGGGTTGTTGGATTATTTTGCGATTCTGTTTTTAGGAGCCACCATACTGTTTTCCATGGTTATACCATGTTACAGTTTGCCACCTGTACAGGGTTTTCTGTTTCTCCACATCTTCATCAATACTCATTATTCTCTATTTTATTTTGCTATCAGCCATATTCATGAATGCGAAGTATTATTTTATTATGTTTTGTCTGCTTTACTGTAATAAGTGGTGTTGAGCATCTTTTTATATAATATTGACCATTTGTATGCCTTCTTTGGTGAAATACCTATTCAACTATTTTGCCCATTTTCAAAATTGGGTTACTGTATTTTTGTTGTTAAGTTGTAGGAGTTTTGGGTATTTATCCCTTACCATATTTTTGTAAGTATTTTCTCCTATTCTACAAGAGTGGAATCTAGAAGATTCCTTTTATACTCTGTTGACTGATGCACTTTAAGCTTTTAAGTTTGATGTGGTCCACTTGCTGATTTTTGCTTTTTTTTTTTTTCCCTTCAATTTATTTATTTATTTTTTAAAATTTTATTTCAAAGAGAGTTGTAAATGAGAAACAAACAAAGAAATAGAACAGTAGCAGCTGCTACTGATTTTTGCTTTTGTTGTCTGTACTTTTGCTGTCATATCCAAAAAAAAAATCATCATCAAATCTAATGTCATGAAGCTTTTCCCCCAAGTTTTCTTCCACTTTAGGTCTTACTTTAGGTGTTATTTCTATTTTGAATTAAATTTTGTGTCTGGTGTAAGATAAGGGTCCAACTTTTGAATGTAGATACTCAGTTTTCTCAGTGCCATTTGTTGAAGAGACTCTTTTTCTCCACCATGTTGTCTTGGCTTCCTTGTCAATGATCATTTGATCGTGTATGTGGGCATTTATTTCAGACTACTTTATTTTATTTTATTTATTGGTTTCTATGTCAGTCTTAATGCCAGTACCATACTGTTTTGAGTATTTTACTTCATACTACATTTTGAAATTGGGAAATGTAGGACCTCAGACTTCATTCTTTTTCCAGATTAGCTGTTCAGAGTCCTATGAGATTCTAAATGACTTTTAGGGTAGATTTTTCTATTTTAGTAAAAATGTCATTGGGATTTTAGTAGGGCTTCTATTGAATCTGTAGACCGCCTTGGGTACTATTGACATCTGAACAATATTTAATCTTCAAATCCATGACATAATCTATGTGTCTTTTGAAGTTATTTTCAGAAATGTTTTGTAGTTTGCAGTGTGCTTGAATGTTATTTAACTTTTTAAAAGAATGGATGAATATTAGTAAAACCATTCTAACTTGTCAGAAATAGATAATTGAGGAGAAAAAAATATAATATAAGCCCATGTTTAAAAGAAAAAATAGAACATAAGGGACTAAGCTGGAAGCAAGTGTCGTTTTTCCAATTTCTGTTTCATTGTCTAGGAGCCAGTCTTAATGGGTTTTGGTATCGCTTGTTAGATAATTTCTTTGTATGTGAGCAAGTGTATCCATTTTACATTTATGGTGTACCATGTGTATTATGCAACTTGTACTTTTGAGTTAGACCTCTTAATATATGTCTCACTTTTAAAAATTAAGGTATAATTGACAGATCAAAAGTATACATATTCACAGTATGTATATACCATTGTTTTTAATGACTGTAGAGCATTTTACTCTATGGAGGTACCCTGAATCATTTAATCTGCCCTGTCTTGAAGGCTCCCATATTTAGCTTTTGGCTGCTTAATAATGTTCCTCAGAACTCAGAATATTAACCTCAGTCAAATCTGCCAGCATGGTAAAGGAGTAGGAATAATAACTTAAACCAGGGCTTTTTGTGTTACTTTGTTTAGAACAAGTTCTTTAAGAGAGTCTCTTTTGTGTCTAATCTTCTTGAATTAACCAATAAGCAATTAGTATTCACACCTGATTATTTAGAAAATTACAGAGTTGGGTGGAGAGGATACGCTGAATAACATCAGCTTCTTTTTCTTTTTGTTTTTGATGACTGTGGAAAGACTTTTTATTTTGTTTAGGTTTCGACCTGGGCCTCAGTCGGGAATTAAAATGCAACAAAGATTTTTTCTTAACCTCCTGTTTAGCTCTTGTAGTGTCACAATTATTTGTTTAGCTCTATGGATAACTTTGGAGTGGAATCACTAAGGAGAAAAATGCTTCTTTTTGTAGTTGCTGTTATTTTTATTTTCATTGATTTTTTTTTTTTTTTTTTCTTCAATGAAGAGAGTTAGTCATCGATTGATCCACTGGCACATATACTCTTGGAGCATGCGCACTAGCTCACGTAGCTTGCCTTTGCCCTTACACCACTCTCAAAGTCTAGGCATTATTTTTACAGTGTTTTGTACAGGGAAGGTAGTTTTGAAATGCATATTAATAGGAAAACAACCTTTGTTGTTTACAGATCCTTCAGGTTTTTACTTTCTCAAGACTCCGCCTTTGTGTGGCTTCCTCATGTTTGGAAATTGCATCAGTACATAGTTCTTCCTAGGTCATCTGGAATTTCTGGAAGTCACTTGGAATTCAGACAAGAAAGACATTAACATCAACATTAACAATCAGGACAGAGTTGTCCTGCCTTAAGCATTTCCCCAAAGCTTGAGGGTCCCATCCTGTTGACTGATACTGGCATTCAGATGTGATCACTGACCTCTGAGCTATGCATAGTTATATTCTAGTAGTTTGTTACAATTGCATAAAAATGCATTGCTTTTTTTCAGTGGACATTTTCTTCCAAAATGATGGAGACTTTATCTCACTGGGGCTGCTAATCATTTTGTAGTTCTCCAAACAATTGATTTCCTTTTTAAGTGTCTTCAGGGAATATTTGAATTGAAAGGCATAGCCAGAAGTAATTATTCTTATCTCAGAGAGCTATTACCAACATTCAGAACAAAATTTCTTGAAATTCCTTGATAAGACCATTGTGTAAGACCAGCTGTTATGATTTATGTCTAGATGTCCCCCAAAGCCTCATGCACTCATACGTGGGGCTTTTGGAAATGATTGGATCATGGGGTGTGATACTCATCAGTGTGGATAAATCCACTGACATGCTTATAGCTAAATGTGATTGGAGAGGTGAAACTTCCTTGGAGGAAGTGGGTCACTGGGGGTGTGGCCTAGAAGGGTCTATCTCCTTCTTCCTTCATCTGTCTGTCTATATCCTGCTGCCAGGACATGAGCAAACCTCCTTTGCCATGTTACCTTGCCATGGCGCCAGCTGGCTGTGGACTAAAACTGCTACAAACTGTGAAGCAGAATAAACCTGTCCTCCTTAGAGTTACAGGTATCAGGTATTGTGTCTCGGCAATGAGAAAGTAACTAAGGCACTATCTCTTACCCCTTATAAATTCATATGATTGTCATTTTCATTTTGTTCTCTGGACAGTGTGGTGACTCTTCCTGACTGATAAAGAAGATCTCGTACATTTCACTCACTAAAGATAGAACTTCAGGAGCATGTACTGGAGAATATTGCTGGAAGTCAACTTTAAAGTTGCTGCAGCCAAACATTCAGTTGCCAAGTAAGTAGGATTTAATGTGAATTAGATATACTTTTTAAAAAATATCTGAAAATGAAGTTTTGAAAATTGCACTGAATTCATTTCTATAAAAATGTATATTTTAATTCTGTTGCATCTTAAAAACACGACATTCATGAAGGAGCATACTGAAGCCCCTTATTCTGGGGTATATTTGTGATGCTCTCAGGATTTTTTTAAAATTAATTTTATCAGTACATTGTAGATATACATAATAACATTCATCATATGGAATTTGTAGCTCTACATGATATATCATGATTCTTCTTTTGTTCTCCTTTCCGTCTCCTACCTTCAACCCCTCTTTCTTGCCTTATTTATGAAAGCTTTGTTTCCATTTTTTCTTTCTATCCTTTTTCCTTTTCCCTTCCTTCCTTTCCCCTCTCCACTCCCTTGTTTCCCCCTTGTTCCCTTTACCATTTGAACATTTTCTTCCTATTTCACAATACCTATTATGCATTTCATAATATTATTATTCATATCTATTGTGCAGTCTCTATTATGCTTATCTTTTACCTATTATGCACCAACATGCATAATAGATATTACATACACTTTCAGTTTCTCATACCAGAGAAACCACTCAATATTTGAACATGTGTGTCTCATTTATTTCACTTATGAGTATGGTCTCAGGGTGCATCCATTTATCTACAGATGTCTCAAGTTTATCCTTCTTTATGGCAGAGTAGTACTCCATTGTATAACAGAACCACTTCTTTTTTATCCGTTCATCAGTTGATGGGCATTTGGGCTATTTTCAAGATTTAGCTATTAGAAATTGTGCTGCTGTAAACATAGATGTACATACACAATTGTGGTATGATGCTTTTAATTCTTTCAGGGAGATACGAAGAAGGGGAATAGTTGTGTCAAATGGAACCTCCAATTTTAGGTTTTTGAGGAATTTCCACCTGATTTTCACAGTGGTTGCACTAGTCTACACTCCCTCCAACAATATAGAAGAGTTCCTTTCTCTCCACAGCTCCTCCAGCATTTGTTATTGATGCATTTCCTGATTATAGCCATTCTTTCTGGGGTGAGATGGAATCTCAGCATTGTTTTAGTTACCAGTGATGTTGAACATTTTTCATATATTTGTTTGCCATTTCTACTTCATTTGTGATGTATCTATTCACTTCACATGTTCATTTTGGATTAGATCTTTAAATTTAGTGGGTCTGACTTTTTTGAGTTCTTTATATATTTGAGATATTAGTCCTTTGTCTGAGGAACAGCTGGCAAAAAATTTTTCCTGCTCTGTGGGTCATCTCTTCACTCTGTTGGTGATTTCTTTTGCCATGTAAAACCTTTTTAATAAGATGAGCTTCCAGTTGTTCATTCTTAGTGATATTTCCTGTGTGATTGGGGTTTTGTTCAAAAAGTGTTTGTTTATACTTATATCTTCAAGAGTTCTCCCTATTCTATCTTCTAACAAATTTAGTGTTTCTGTTTTATTTTAATTTAATATATATGTATTTATTTATTTATTTATTTTCTTCCTTTTTGAGTCAGGGTTTTACTATGCAGTTTAGGCTGGACTTGAACTCACTTTGTAGCCCAGGTTGGCCTCAAACTCACAGCCTCCCACGTGCTGGGATTACAGGTGTATGCCACCAAGCCTGGCCTAGTGTTTTTGTTTTAACATTTAGAACTTCAATCCATTTTGACTTAATTTAGTAGATAGTGAGAGGCATGGGTTTAGTTTTAGTCTTCGGCATGTGGAAAGCCAGTTTTTCCAGCATCATTTATTGAAGAGGCTTTCTTGTCAAAGATAAGGTGGCTGAATGTGTTTGGAGTTGTTTCTGCATCTTCTAGGCTATGCCACTGATCCTCAGGTCTGTTTATTTTTGCCAGTATCATAGTGTTTTTATCACCATCGCTTTGTAGTATAATTTGGTCTGGGCTTGTAGTGCCCCCTGCCTTACCTTTGTTGCCCAGAAATGCCTATGCTGTTCTTGGTCACTTCTGGTTCCAAATGAATTTTAGGATTGTTTTCTGTAGTTCTGTGAGGAATACTGTTGGTATTCTGATTGGGATTGCATTGAGTCTGTATAGCAATTTTGGAAGTATGGCCATTTTCACTATATTGGTTTTTTCTACCCAAGAACGAGGGACATCCTTCCACTTTCTGATAACCTCTTTGCTCTCCTTTTTCAAAGTACTGTAGTTTTCAATGTAAAGATCTTTTACTTCCTTTGTGGATTACTGAGTACTTTTTTTTAATGCTACTGTGAAAGGTGTGGTTTCCCTAACTTCTCTCTCAGTAAGTTTACTCTTTGTTTATGGAAAGGCTATTGATGTTTTTGAGTGTTGATTCTGTATCCAGCTGTGCTACTGCATTTGGCTATTAAGTCTACAAGTCTTTTGGTGGAGTTTTTGGGATCTTCTGTGTAGAGTATCATGTCATCCACAAATAATGATAATTTAACCTCTTTTCTCTCCTTATTTCTTTTTTTCTTTTTCTCTCTTGTCTAATTACTATGGCTAATGTTTCCAGAACTATATTGAATAAGAGTGGTGATAGGAACATCCTTATCTTGTTACTGATTTTAGTGAGATTTAGTGTGATTTTAGCTTTCAGTTTTTGAGCATTTAGTATGATGTTGGCTGTTTTGTCATAGATGGCCTTTATCAGATTGACATAAAGACTATCTGCTTCAAACTTATGTGGTATTTTCATTAGTGGCATTATATCTCGAAATATCTTGTAGAATTCAACAGTGAATCCACCAGGACATGGGATTTTCTTTGTTGGTAAGTTTTAATTATATCTTCAGTTTCATTGACTGATATCAGGTTATTTAGTATCTTTATATCGTCTTGATTCAACTTTGGTAATTCATAGGTATCTAGGAATCTGCCCATTTGTTCTGTTTTTCTATCTTATTAGAATACAGGTTCTCAACATGAATATTAATGGTCTTTTCGATTTCTGGAGAATTTGTTGTGATTTTTATCCTTTTCATTTCTAATTTCATGGATGTGACTCTTTTTGATAAGGTTGGCTAAGGGTTTGTCCATTTTATTTAATCTTTCAAAGAACCAACTCTTAGATTCATTGATTCATTGATTCTTTGTATTGTTTTTTAGTCTCAATTGCATTGATTTCTGCTCTAATTTTTATAATTTCCTCTCTATTAAGAGTTTTGGGCTCAACTTGCTCTTCTTTTTCTAGAAGCTTGTGCTCTCAGGATTTTGATCTATAATAGAACTAAAACAGAAAAAGACTCAAAAGGAAAAATAATATTGTAATAGAATTTGCCATGTTCTCTTTTCACTAGACCTGGGGCCATTTGAAGAACTTTCAGCATTGACTTTTGTCAGCCAGATATTCTCCATAAATTGCCTGTTGGGGTATGCAAAATTCAAAAGAAAACATTGTTTAAAAGTTTATTGCATAGCTAAGGATGCTGGTGCATGCATGTAATTTTAGCAGTAAGGGAGACTGAGGCAGGAGGATCATAAGTTCAAGCCCTGCCTGACCAACTTAGTAAGACCTTATCTCAGTTTAAACACACACACACACACCCCCAAAAGACAGCTGAGGACATTGCTTAGTGGTAGAGTGCTGCTGGGTTCCATCTTCAGTACCACCAGAAAAAAGTTCGTTACATTATCATCCATATAACTAGTGTCTAGAATCTTGTGCAGATTCTCCCATTTCAATTTCATCAAGATTGTATCTAACATTACTTTGGAGTTTTTAGCTTTGTTGAGTGACAGATAAGCTTTTAAATGGACCACTGTAATGGATCTAGATATCAACATGTTAATAATAGTGAAGCATTAAGTTTTAGGCAAGTTGTAAAGGGGACAACGTAATAGTTAATGAGTTATTCAGGTATATAGAGTGTTAATGAGGCTGTTGAGAATGCTTACTGTCTAGTTTTGGTAGTTTACACACACCTGCATCAGGCACTTGGGAAAATTCCTTAGTCACTTTAAACTTTCTATAGCCTTTGCAGAGACAAACTCAGACACATAGGGAAGTAATAGTCACCATTTATTGGGCATTTTCCATTTGCGAAGCACTTGGGTAAATATTTTAACTATTTTAATTGTTGCTACTTTGAGCAGTTCTAGAATGATGTCTGTGTGTACACACACATAAAAAAGGGTTTGGGACAGTTGAATATCTAAAAAATACGTGTATTGCTACAAATATAGTTTGTTTTCAGCCTTAACATAAATGGTGGTATATATATGTATTGTTGTGTTACTTGACTTCTATCAATCTGTCTTTTTTCTCTGAACATATTAGATGTTCCCGTGTCAGGACCCATGGACTTCAGACATTCTCTGTAACCCCTGGTTTTTTTTTTTTGTTTGTTTGTTTTTGGTTTTTTTTGTTTGTTTTTTTTTTTTCCGGTTTTTTCCCGGTACCGGGAATTGAACTCACGACCTTGTGCTTGCCAGGAAGGCACTGTGCCGCTGAGCTAAATCCCCAGCCCCCTCTGTAACCCCTGGGTGTAGGGTTTTTAAGCACTAGTTCCCAAACCTGAATGTGCATCAGACTCACCAGTGGAGCATGGAACAGTACCCGTGACTGGGCCCCATACTAGGGATTCTAAGTTCTGTGGTACTGGGTACCACCTTGGTAATGGGGCATGGGCGTCCAGAGTTTACTGCAGGACAGTACTGTACTGAGGCACACTTAGATGATTCTCTGTTACAAATCATGAGCCCTTTTTCTATGATAAGATAGTAGTGATCTTCCTTATTCATACATCTCTGTGCCTATGTATGAATATATCTGTAGGTTAGCTTCTTAGATACAGAATCTGAGAATTCATAGATGTGGATGCAAGGGCCAGTGCATTAAAAGAGAGATCGTCAGATTGTCCTCCTGTGAGGTCGACGGATTGACTTTCCCATCCACTTGTTATTGGGTTGTCTATGAGGAGTTAGGGTTTCCTGGGTCATCTGCCCGGTCTCTAGTCCTGCCCACCCTTCCTCCCTCCTTCCCTCCCTTTCTTGCT